AGTGTATTCATTTTTGAAAATTTGTACTCAATACTCAGTTTTTCACGCTCTTTCGAATAATGTATTTAATATCAACTCTGCACGAGATCGAAAACTTCTAGTCAGTTGATATGTGACATAAAGCATAATGAAAACTGCCAATCATCGTTATGCATGTCTATCGAAAATCGATATATGGTTCGAATGGAAACATCAGAAAAAACTGTGATAGAAATGTATTAAATCAGTATTTACATTCAGCTATGTATTTACTTTTTGTGTAAAATGTGTTCTACACAAAGGATGCTGCTCCAAAACAATGACGATTGACAAGCGTATAAGCAATTTTTCTTGAGTACAATGCGGACATAAGATGTCACTCAAAACAACTCCCTAATTTTAGTTGAGCAAAAGAATTCAACATCGCACATAATTTATCAATGACATACTTCATATTTTGTAAATACTCTCATTTCGAAATGAGTTCTATTCTCAGCATTTTAATAATCGTTCATTTCAATACTGATTTAATAATGCATGAAGATACATTCATAGACTAAATATTTCTTCAATTATGACCATGACCGTCCATAGAACAGGAAGAATGTGCACAATTAACTTCTTTTGTATGTTTCATTGAATGAGTATTTTTCTTCTTGTCGTGACTGCTTGACTTTATTCATTTTTGAAAAAATAATTGGAATAAAGAAGAAGGAAAGTATTATCGTAATATGAAGAATATTAACAAATATTTCAAATAAAGTTTTGACTAAAATTAATATCAACAAATACAACATATCTTGTCACAAATTCTTATCTGTTGAAATAATTCCAAAAACTATAAGAATGAATAATGAGATGCAAATAATAATAGCTACTAGTTTTAGTTTATTGATTACATTTACGTTTTATAGCGTCTTAAATGAGAAACGAGCGAGCAACTCGCTCTTTCAACATATCATTGCTGATACTTTTCATAATACTTTCTTATCTTCAGCCTGTCTTATCAATCAACGAAGTAGGTATTTTTGAAAAATGAATTTTACGATACTGGATGTTATTTATATAGATAATACGTCTTGTTCAGTTTCTCTAAGTACCAATGACAAACGAAAAATGTTAATCTTGGGGAGTTGTCCATTTTTCTTTATGGCACTGATATGGTATTGTGGTTCTAAAATAGTACCTCTCTTATTATTAGGAATATTGACGATATTAAATGTATGGTTGTTATCTCGATGGTGCGATAGTTTTCACTTTTGGTATTCAGTTGATATATTAACTGTTTATTTTCTTGTATGGCAATTTAGTTATCTTATGTTTCAATGGTGTTTCCATAAACTCTCATGGCCTTGTTTAATTTTTTATCAATCATTAATATGTATATTAACAGCTATTGAATCATTCATATTTTATGATCTATTTTTTCGCTATTTTCTGTCAATTAATCTTGTTATGATTTGGTTTGCTTGTTTCGATGACATGTAAGTAAATTATGCATTCGAAAAATATATCTCATGAAATTTCTCAACCGTTCATTTTCGTTGCGTTAGTTGTAACATTTAGTTACAATGATTATTTTGTCATGCTTAACGAAACATGATCTTTGTGAAAAGTAAAACAATCATAATTTCTTGAGTATAAAATATTTAGAATTTTCAAATGAAAATTTAGACTTGAAACATGTTCTAATAAACTATCATATTAATATATATCAGTAATAAATGTTTTTATAAGTGAATGTGTTGTTTTTCATGCTTTTGAAAAAAATGAAGGTTTCATTTTTTTTTTTGGATTATTTTTCAATGTCTGTTTATCTTTTTATGTAGCATTGCATGTCCGTACATTCATGGTCGATTGCGTAATTTGATGAAAGATAATTCTATGGATTACTTAATGCCAACATATCCAACATTTCCAGTCTTTTGCTATTATACACATGACATTGAAAATGGAATAGATGCGATCAAAGGTTGCAGAGCTTTGGGTGATAGTGATTTTTTCATATATAATTTGCTTCTTCTTTGGCTACTACCACCATTATCATCAACAATAATACAAATGTTGGTGATTTTTGGTTTGACTATCAATATACAAATTGGTCTTATGATCACGGATTGGACTAGATCTCTTTGGAAAGAATACCGAATGCCAGCTTTAGCTCTTCCTGTAATCTTTGGTTCAGCATATGCTCTAATTATTGATTTTATTATAAAAAATTTTGATATTGATTATATCAACATGTTAGATTGTGTATGAAATAAATTCATTTTGTTTGATTGAATAAATGAATTATATATATATATTTTAATCTACTTAAGTATATACGAAGAAACTTGACATTTTTTGATCATTGATTTCAATCAAATGACATTTTATCGACATAGTTAATAATTGTGTAAGATCTCTCTAACCAATACTCATGTCACAAAAAAACTTCCACTGACTTTCGAGAGTTCTTTAATAAACATAGTATTAGTCAGCGAATTGTTAGTGACAGAATTTTTCGGTTGACCCAATCAAACGAAGTTTCATTATTTGTAATATAAGAATTCAGTTGCTATTGAAAAAACTATCATTTTTGACTTGAAAATTAAAGAATAATAATGACTATAGTCTGATGAATTAAAAGTCCGAGTAAAACGTTTGATTTTTTTTGAGCATCTACAAAGAAAAAACAACAAGTTTTGACTCAGACTTTTGGCTCATAGTATTATAGTAACTATTTACTATAGTACTAAAGGTTTGATGCAAAACTTGTTTTTCTCCTCAACAGATATCGGAAAAAAATCAAACATTTTACTCGGACTTTTAATTCATCAGACTGTATTCCTAATTCCAAGTGACAAAAATTCAAGAGCATGGTATATGCGCTTGGTTTTCATCGTTAAGAAAGTCAATAAATCGAATATTTTTCTATTATTGATAAATGGATCAGATTTTAAGTGAAAGCCAGTGAGAAGAATTAGAAACGAGAGTAAACTGTTGAAATAGAATTCTATCAAGAATCGATTAAACTGATTTTTCAAGCGAGTTGGGATCTTTTCCGATCTGATCTCATAAATCTGAAGAAAGTTCTACCATTTAGAGTTTTGGTTTATGCAAGCAAGTTTCATTAAGAGATGTCACTAAGATTTCCAACTTTACTGTCTATTGTACAGAATATTCTTTCAGAGATCTTTTACAGGCAGAGAACTTACTACTAATTCGAGCGAATGAGCATAGAATTTAATGATTGTATGGACTAAGGTTCTGTCTGTAATATGTCTAAAGTCAAAGGCTACTTTCTAGCATCAAAGAAGCTCACCTGATAAATAGCGATAGCTTGTACTTGGTCACATGCCGAAATATGTTATATACCATTCGAACACAATTCTCGTAATCATCTTTAACTTTTCAATATAAACACTCAAGGAGCTACACCTTAATGATAATCAAATCAGAGATAATTGAGCACAAGATCTAGCGAATGGGCTCAAAGATAATAAGATAAGAAATTTTTCTATTAGTTTCATAAAGTACAAATCTTCATTCTGTCATATACTTTCGTGCAAAGTTCTTAATTATTAGCAGTCAAAGTCGATCATAGAGTAGAAAAATTATTAGAAAAATTTTTCAAGAATTTATTTTGTCACCATTCAAGAATTTTTACCAATGTATTACTTGTTTGTAGAGAATCTGTAAAATAACAAACTTTGAATTTCTCACCAACTATTTTCATGTTAACTTGAATGTAGTTTGCTGTGTAATAGATGATTTATACAATCATGAATTTATTCATTGAAAAGCTAACAAACGAAGATTTTTCCATGCTTTTTTAAATTAAAATCTAGGAAAATGAACAATTTTCAGTGATGGACAGTACAGGTGTAGTTCACATAAAGCATTTCCACTTTCCTTATGAATCTTTACTGGAAGTGAGAAGTTCAATTTTTAATTCGAAAATTTATTAAACTCAAAAAACACAGTTTCTAAACTCCTAAGCTTCTTAATCATGCTTGGCAAACATCTTATCATATTCAAGATTTCTCAACAAAGAAATAGTTACACATTTCGGTCACAAAACAACCGATGTTCTTTGGTAACAATCCAGTATTGTTTACCTTTCTGGAATGAATGGTAGAATTCACCTCATTGCTGACCAAATTTTCTTATGCGTACCACAAAACTAGGAAGGAATATTCGGCTGCGTTTGATCTTAATCCATTCTAAATAATCCATAAATGAAGCATAAAAAGTCTTTTAGTAGCAGAACTAATAGACGACGCGATCAATGTTACTGAAATAAAAATCGAACCATTGTTGCTGATGCTTTTAAACGGATGATGATTAGGGCTGTTTTTAATATAGTTGTATTTTGTTTTTGCATATTCTGACATTTTAGAAGAATACTGCGCTTACGCGTGTCCGGTAATGTCTTTAAAAGCATGGTCTCTTCGAAAATGTCCTTCGACTATCAAATGTTCTCCTGGTCAAATATGAACTAGGGTGAAAATATGATTGAGGCTGTTCATGTTTGTTCGCCCTCACTCATCATCACCATTAATAGTTCCTTTTTTGCATTAAAATTCTTTAATTGAAAATTATAGGCACCGATAACAAACATTATTTTTCTTTGATTTGACCTGGTTGTTGTTATGATAGGCTTAGATAAACGCCGAAATGACGATGAATGTTCAATGGACTATGAAAAGAAGAAAGATACTGTTTTGTTCATCCCTATTTCGTGTCTCAAAGCCATTCAAAAGCTACTCTGCATTGATTGATAACAAAGTACGCTATGAAAAAAACTAATCATGTTATAATAAAAAAATGTTGTTTTTTAATTCTGTTAGATTTGTTCAATATACAAAATAAATCCTTCACGTATACAACTTATATATATATATATATGCCGATTGCCGATGTATGTTTGGATTAAGTATAATCTACTTTCCAATAAAAATATTTAGAAAAGAACAACTATGTTCTTGCTGGGCATACTTTTATACCAGGGAATATTTTTCATTGATATTTTGATCGAGAACATTTTATGCAAAGACAATTATGTGAGAACATTTATTTTCAGAGACAAGTCATAGACTTTTTTCAGGTACATATTAGACCGTATTTGATTGGACACAAATACATATCACAACATGTGTCATAGATTATGACCCATGTTACAGATTACTTTTCGAAGATTAGTCCAAAATGATGTGATCTGTACCATTTAATTTTAAATATGAATTATTGAAGTTTTTGAATTTAAATCTTATGAATAGCAACAAAGATATACGGAGATAATTTCATTTGTTGTTAGACATTAAAAGCATACAATACCAGTGATCTCTAAACCCTTCTAAGCAGCAGCTGTTCGTGCGGCACCAGTCTTTATGGATAAGACTGCAACAACTGAAAGAGTCATTCATTATATCAAAGAAGCAAACGAAGAATCAGTCAATCTTCTTGTTTTTCCTGAAACATTTATTCCTGGTTATCCACATTTCATTAATTGCTACCCGATCTACACTCAATCAACAGCACTAGCCGAATATATTGAACAGTCTATCGAGATCTTCGGGCCGGAAATCAACCGTATTCAAGAAGCCCGTCGTGGTTATGAAATGTGCATCATTTTGGATATCTCTAAGCGAATGTCAGGTACTCATAACATAATACAATAAGAATGTTTGCAAACAAATATTTATTTTGCATCTATAGATTTGTTTGCGCTCATGCAAGTTTTAATGGTCTCATATCTTTCCACTCATAGATTTTTTCGTGATTTGATAATGGCCAAAAAAACCTGAAAACACTTTCTATTCTCTACATTAGAATTGATAGAGACTTACAAGACGAAAATTATTTCCCTTAAATGAACTAAGTTTTTCTTGAGACAATTGTATTTTATTGAATCTGTCTGATGTTATCTTTAATGAGGGTGCGGGTGTGGGTGTGGGTATGGATGAGAGAGGATATGATCCATCAACACATCCAAACAACATCTACACCCACACATCCACACCCAGACCCAAGACGATGATAAGATCGTATTTTGAAGGGTGTGGGTGGGTGTGGGTGTGGGTGTGGGTGTGGGTGTGGGTGGGTGTGGGTG